TTACTTAGTCATGCGGGTGGCCCAGGTTTCTCGGTATCGCTGGCCTCTGTCTAGGGCAGCATTTCTGGGCTTCTCCGCCCGGCAGCATGGATGGGGACAGGGCTGTGTCCAGAAGCTGCTCTCTCGTGCTCGGCTGCCTGGCCCTGCCCTGGGGATTTTCCGTGGGCTCCTGCCCTTGGCAGTCTTGGAGCATTTGCTGTGCTGATTTAACTGGGCACCATGTTACTTTTCCCTTATGCTTCTGTGTTGCCCCTGGGAGCTGTTAGCAGCCTGGCCATTCCCCCTCGCTGCACATGTGTGGGCACTGTGGGAGCAGCGCGGGGGCTGGCTCCTGCAGCTTTAGGCTTCGCTCGTGTCGCGCTGCCATGTTTGTTCAAATCCGTTATTTTTAGGTCCCAGTGAGGTGATACCGCCGGACGTGACTCGGCTGGCTCTCTGGCAGGCTGCTCTGTGCGTCTGTCTGAGCAGGGAGGGGCAGCTGAGACAGCCCACCGCATGAGCCAGGATTTCTCAGCATGGCCATGGCCTGCTCACCCCAGTCCCTGCTTGGCAGATTGTGTGTGGGGAGAAGGGGCCTTGACTGCCGCGGGTTCTGTTTGTTCCCAATCCCGTGTCCTGTCTCACCCCACCGGGATTTCACATGGCCCCTCAGGTTCACCTGCACCCTCTGACACAAGGGCAGTTTGGTTGGCAGGCAGACGGAGATGCCGCGTGCCTCGACCACGGGGCTCTAGGCAGCCCTGTGGCTGGGAGTGGAAGCTGTGTGTGGACGTCCGTCATTTCCCCGTGGGGCGGGGAAGGGGTTGGCAGTGCCATGGTGTTTCCCTGAGCCCCGGTCAGGTTTCTGTGCATGGCGCGCTGCTCCCTTCCTCAAACCAGTCCGCTCTGGATCCAGGGGCCTGCCTCGCAACATGAGCCCCCAACGCCCACACTTTAACGTTAGGAGGGGAAATGAAAAGGCCGTTTTAGTAACAATATGTTTCTTATTTAATGCTGAGAAGTGTATGCTGAGCCCCCCACTCTCCTGAATCCTGGCCTGTTTGGTCTGGCGGACCATCCCCAGGAGACCTCCCAGCAAAGCCGGGGAGGGGGGTTAATCTAAACAGTGCCAGGCCAGCAGCCCCCAGTCCAGGCTGCTCCGCTCGCCCTGAGCCAGAATAAAGGTGCTTTGTGCAGTGGACCTGTTGGGGGTGGGGACGTGCAGGGGGCTCAGGGAGACGCCTGTCTGCGCAGGCATGAATGTTTCCTCAGTTGGAGTGCATCTCGCACGCTGCCGCTCGCTTTCACAGCCCGCTGCGAAGGGGGAGGCGGGGGAGGCTGCAGGCTGAGCCAGGAAGCGCTGGGCGTGGACAGGGCTTGTGGGAATGATTTCATTGGAAAGGCCTGCGCTATTTTTTCCCCTCTTGTGTGTGGTTCTTGGAGAAGGTTGGAGGTGTAACTGTGGTGGTGATATCAGTCGCCTGGGCCAGCAGGAGCAGAGCGGCCGTGCACAGCTGGATGTTCCAGCAAGCCCCGCTCCTCTCTCCCATGGCCCCTGCGCCTGCTGCCCCGGCCGTGGCTTAGCGTGGGCATTTTTCACCCCGAGCGTGCAAGTTGTTTTTAGCTCCTTAGCAGTAGGCTGTTTCCCTGCTGAGAGTTGGGGTTGAGAGGAGAGCGGGGAGCCTGCCCCCACTTCCCTGCTCATCTCACTCCCGGCTCTTGATAATCTCTGTGTTTTGTATTTTTGCCCCCTCTGCTGTCTCCAGTCGTCCGGCGCCCCGTCTGACAATGATCCTCTGGGCCCCCTTCCTCCCGGCTGGGGTAAGTACCAAGCCTTCTCCCCTGCTCTCTCACTTCTGCTGCTCACCTGGCACCACCCCCACTCCATCGCTAGGGCTTGAACCCTTCCTGTGCCGTCCGTCCCTTCCAGCAGCACCTTTCCGCTGGCTGCTCTTGGGGGGCAGAACCTGTGTTCTTGAGGACTCGTTCCCTCTGCGTTACTGGCGGGGTGTGTGAGCATAGGGAAGATGACCATGTCCCACCGTCCAAGCTGCCTGTGGGGTGGATCTGCCAGATATCCACCCCAGCCTGGACTTTAAATCCAGCATTGAGTCCAGAGGTGCCCAGCTCTCTGGGTTTGCTCCCTGTTGACTAAACCCAGCAGCGTCTGTGATTGTTGCCTGGACTCGAGGAGGGGTTGGAGAGGTTGGCTCTCTCTGCCGGGGTCAGCTCCCCCGTTGCATTTGGGAATGGGAGGAAAGGCTCCGCCACGGGGGAAGGCCTCCCGCTGATGGGGTCCAGCAGGAAGTCTACATTGGGAATTTGCTGTGGTCTGTTCTCGGTGCCATTGCTTTCCACTGGGCTCCACCAGGCACCTGCCTTTTTCATGTCACATCTGAACCAAATGACGCTAGCCCAGAGCGAGGTGGGTTGTGGGTAATGCGGGGATGGGACAGCCACTTAGTGGAGATCTAGGGAGTGGCAACAGCGTGTGCCCAGGGGAGGATCCCGTGGTACCGGAGCTGCTGCTGAGATTCTGGGGGATGATGAGCACGGAGGGGGGACATGGAAGATCCCGGGAGCGCTGGGCTGGTTTGAAACGGGGTTTCTGAGCCAGGGTGTGGGGCAGAGAGAGCCCCGTGTACGCAAGGGGGTGCCCTGGCGGTGCTGCTAGGACAGGGCAGCCTGTACAAGATGTCCCCCCCCCCACTTCTCAGGTAACAGCTCCGCTGGGCGATTGCTCCAGCTGGGCTGAAACCTGGGGGGGCGGGAATCACCCCCCCGCCCTCAGGGAATAATCAAGTTTTTTTGGGGGGGGCGGTTATGAAGCCGGGACCATGGGGCTGCAGAGGGAACGGGAGCCATTGCGCGGGTTTGCTGGCAGGCGCCGTTACCACCGTATTCACTCAGCGGGAGGGTTTTGCAAACCTCAGTGAGGATGGAGACACAGTACAAAGGTGACTAGAGACTAGAGATGTGGACAAAGGCCAGGGGCTCTAATAACCCACCCCGCAGCAGCTGGCTGGGCGGACGGCCTGGGTAGGAGTGCTGCCCCCAGGGAGCGACATGGAGACCTGGGGCTGGACATGCAGATGTGGCTGGGGAGCGTCTGGGTCCGAGGCCCGTGAGCGGCGTAGGGAGATTGGAGCAGGGCTGCAGGGGCTGGAGGAGGGGTTAACAGCCTGTGACGGGACTGCTGCTGGCAGCAGCTGTTTTCCTATCTTGACACCAGGGAAACTGTCAACAGCTACTTGGGGTGTGAGCCCCGGGCGGGGGGACCATAGAGTGCGCCAAGGAGAGGCCAGAGGGTGAAGCAGAAGGAAGATGCAGGGTGGCTATCGGAGCAGCATCCTGACAGCCAGATGCACCGGGCTGGCAAGGGGGCAAGGTGGGAACCCAGCTGCTTGAGTCATTTAATACTGTCCTGGGCAAGACCCCTGGCAGGAGCCCGGCCCTGACCCTAGTGGGTGAGATGGACCTAACAGAGCTTCCCCGTCCCTGACAGCTGAAATCCCTATGCCCTGCTGGCTCGCGTCTTCTCTGAGGGAGCCCCCTTTAATTCCGTGCGTAGTACAAGCGGGCAGGGGGGGTGGGCTGTGGGGGGGGTGACCTGGCTCAGATGTGGGCTGGGTGACCTGGCTCAGATGTGGGCTGGGTGACCCCAGGGCCCTGGGGGGTGTGTGACCTG